AGGAAGAGGAAGAGGAAGAGGGGGCCGTGGTGCTTTTTCAACACGTGCTGTTCGTCGAGAGACCATCAACGAAGAAGACGAAATGCTTCCCCGTTAGCCCTGAAGAGGGTGAGACCGCCGTGGTGCTTGTGGCAAGGACGCAGGGAGAAGAGTGGGACGCTGCAGCCCTCCAAACCAGGCTATGCACAGTGTTGATGAAAATGAGGAAGATGCACATTCGCCAAAGGGTAACTGACGGGTCAGTTTGGTCAAGCAGGAATGGTTGCATTAGCGAACTCAGGAGGAGAAGGGTCAATGAATAAAAGTTAATTTCTGATTGTCTTACCTTTCTTTCCATCATAACCCACATTATAAAGTCGAGTACCAAAGTCCAGACCTATTTTTAATTGATATCCGCCGAAGGCACACGTACAAATTAATGCAAGCAAAAGCAGTTAAATCTGTCACACCCTGGGATCTGTCTCTGATGTTCTCTGCTAGTCAACTACTTTGGGGACGGGTAATCTAATCCCTGGAGCTATATCCTATACTCGCCTGAGTCTACCGACCAGGTATCCTATTGTTATACCGAACAGGTATGGAGGTGTCAAGACGATACAATGATCCGGTCAGGATCAAGGACAATCCAAAGGTAACACAAGTACAATAAAAGTAAAGATAGAAGCAAGGCCTATTGAGTACGTATACTCAATAGTAGAGAGTGACGGACGAATCGGACTAGTGAACTTGTACTCAAGTGAATGATTATGATTGAACGCGAGAAACTAAAAAAGGCTAAATCGATCAAAACCAATTCAGATAGACACCCCAGGGCATCAGACTTCGACGAATAAATTCCAATGTGTTAGTAACGGCATGTTGCCGGTCTTCATAGGCCTAGAACCCTTCAAAAATGTGCATGCGATGAGGATACGGTGGCTTTGAACTTGGGCGGCATTTCCAAGGCTATAAGATGTTTGCGGAATGTGCATACCATGAAAATTGGGCCAGGACTTCCCCACGATCATGCGACTGATGCAATAGACGCCATCAATAAATGTTTCCAACTTGTGAGTCCAGAAGTTCGGCATAATCCTGATGTAATCTCTCCATGATGCTGTTTGAGACTTGATACTGTGCTTTGGAGCCCAGGCCACTTAGGAGTCATTTAAATCTGACTCTGGTTCTATATAGGGAGTCATGGGTTTAGGTCCACACCACAACCGTGGCTAATCTTAATAAGACCTATACTATTTAATAGAGTGTAAAGAGAATAATCTAATAATAGTATTATTATTAAAAAATATTAAGGATTAATAGAGATATTTACTATAAAATAAATATAATAGAAATTCAAAAGTAGTTAGTATACTTTATATCCCTACTTAAGTACTATAGAGTTAATTTATTTAGATAATTAATATATTAAAAAATAGAGAAAAATTAGCTAATGTGAATAGTATATATTATATTAAGATCTACTAATAGGTAGTAGAGTAATCTATATTAAACTATTATTATTAAGAAATAGTCTAACTATAGATTATTAACTAGCTACTATACTAGCCCAATCTTAAGACTTAACCTAAGTAAATATAATTAGGCTAAGCTTAAGGAGATAGCCTATTAGCTAGATATAGATATATAAAAATATTAAGGATCCCTTAAAGAGGGTAGAGATTACTCTAATAACTATATTATATATATATAGGTAGTATTAGGGCTAGAGAATTATAATAAGTTGAGGATAGTAGAGGTTACTAGGTTACTAGACTAAAGTTATTAGTTTTAGCTATAAGGATAAGAAGACTACTAGCCTACTAGCCCTAACTAGATAGGATGCAGAGATATATATTACTATAGTAGAGGGGTACCTCTAGTATAAGATTCTACCTACTAGTAGGTACTAAGTTTAGAGCAGGTAATCCTACTAGGCTAGGACTAGGGAGGGGTCTATCAGGTAATCTAGATAGTCTAGATAATTTAGTTAGTAAAGGGGTGTAGCCTTAATTAGGAGCTATATACCTAGTAAAACTAGTTAGTAGAGGTAATCCTAATAGGTGTATGCTAGTTTAGTAGTTATACTAGGGGATCTAGACTCTATAACTAGTATGGCTGGATGCTATAGAAGGAGATGAACTAGATAATACCTAGATCATGCACACCAGCTAGCTGGGGCATCTGTCCTCCCCTAATGTAGTCACTAGAGACAGGGGTGGCGGATCCTATAGCAGGCTCCCCTGGGAGGGCGGCGGTCCCTCGCACGTAGGGAGATAAATAGAATAATACCTAGACCATCCCTCCCAGGCCATGGGGGCCAGGAGCCAGGCCTGATGTAGTCACTAGGCTAGGGGGTGGCAGGATGCATACAAAGAGGCCCAACGGGGACTTGTGGAGCTCACATGTAGGTCACTGCAATAATTGACGCGGCCACAGAAGCATGTATCATGGCTGCAATCGAGCGCTGCCTGGTTGACTGCACCGTGATCTCTGTGGCCCATCGTCTACACACAATCCGCCATTTTGATCGTATTGTGGTCCTAGATGAGGGTCGGGTTGTGGAGTCGGGCTTCCCTGATGACCTTTTGGCACAGCCTAGATCTGTATTTCGAGGGTTATGGGATAGCCAACTTTAGGCATCTTCTTCCTAGTGTCCCAGCTGGCTACTGTGATGGAATTGGTAGACATGCCCCATTAGGACTCCCAATTGCCCGTTGATCATATTAGGCTAGTAGCCGCAGAGATCGAACCCGAGGATCCCACAGGCAGCCACGGCTTTCCATTTGAAGAACATTTTCTCTTCTGAGGTTCAATTGCGATTGTCATCTGCTGTCACTCACAGGAAAGCGGATAATGTGCTGAATGTATCGTGCAGATAAGCCCTAAAGGAGGACAGCCGCGGTATACCATTGTGACCACTTGAACAGGGCATAAGCATGATCTCACTGCCAGAAATTGTGTGCCCACACGTAGTTTGCGCCATTTAGTGTCAACCAAAACCAGATATTGGAGTTTTACTTGTTGTTTCCCCGCTCTAACTTCCCGCCAACTTCCATATTTCTGTGGGATTTATTTCACCTTTCCCTGCCATTGTGGCACAGCTGTGTGAATGTGATGGCTAATCTTGAACTGTGTAAGTCCACTGTGATATTTTCCCACGCTGCAAGTCCTGCTGTTGGGGCCCTGCATGACCAGCCAGCCTCCAAATTCGGAAGAGGGCCCTGTTGCAGCTCAAACCAGCGACTGCCCCTGATTTTCCTGATGTCAGGATATGTTCTGGCTCTAAGAAGTTGTTCAAAAGCCCTTACTTTGGCGCTTGACTGTTTAGTAATATCTAGTATAACCAAATACATATCAAGGTCTGGTACGAAATAAATACGTCTTTAAAACCTTGACGCAGCATAACGCAAACTGAGTTTCTTTGCATTCGCTATTGCACTAGTTTCTAGTGGAGATGAACCATCGGAGAATAAATCATTCGAGGTTCTTGTTCGCGACCCAGTCAATAACCACAGGTCCCTGTAGACCATAAGATTGGCTTTCGCCGGACGCATAGGTCGGCGACATCATGGAGAGCGGATATCCCATGAGCAGGGTCGAATTCACATCAGCCTTGAGGCGATTGTAAAGCGTCGTAGACACCTCGACCTTGATATTATTGACTTTGTTGCAGCGTATATAATGGCTGATATCCACCTTGGCATTATTGGCTGCGAACGGGCTCAGTTGGTGGCCATTGACCCAGACGCGGAGGGTATTAAAAATCGGACCGACTGACAGATAGGCCCCGATGTCTTTCACGCTGGGGACCGTGAAATTCGCGGAGTAGATACCAATGCCGCTAACAGATTCAAGTTCAGGGGAGATCTCCTTCCATGATACCAAGGATTGATTGCTGAATGTGTGGACCAATATCTGCGGCTCGATGGAGGTGTAGTTGGTACTGCCCCTCCAATCCTGGACTTCCAGGTCCCAGAGGCTGATTGAAAACGATGCCGGCACTCTTGCATTGAGAGACTGTTCTTTGGTGCCTCTGACCGTCACCATCGATGGCCCTTTGAGGCTCGCGTATAGCTTCCCGCCAACGGTATAGCCGACCGCTTCAACTTTGCCTGTTGTCTTTGTGACATAGGCCGGTCTCTTCCCTGCCAATGGTCTGAGCGCAATGATAGTTGTTTCATGGGGCTGGAGTTTCAGCGGAATCTCCATCTGATTCCTAGAGAAAGAGTATTGGGCTATGGGCCGTACATCTCCCGTCCAGGCGTCGAGGGAAAACGGCAGCACATCCCTGCTAATCTCGAAATAAGCAACAAAGGATGCCGTGACATTAGCATTGTTTAGCAGCCAAATATAATCAATTTCGGATTTGCGCTCAGTACGATAGACGGTGAGAATAGAGCTGTCTGGGGTCGTACACTGCACACGGGGTGTAATACGGGCTTTTGCTAGAGCGGTCGGAAGGTCATCATTTGCGCTGACACAGTAAATGTTCTTTCCGTTCATGATCAATTCAGTCACCATGTCAGCAGCGTTGTATGTTTCACCAGCCTGTGATGATATCGGTAGTTCCTGAGTCTCGCCAACAAAGAATATTGGTAGCCCTGAACGGTCAAACTCCCGGACCTTGGAGAGGACATTGCTGTTAATCTGAGTATTATTTAGGAAGACCAAGGCTTTGTAGCTGGGTCCTTTGGGGCTAAGAAGTCCGTCAGAAATGGATGTATCGGGGAGTTGCAGGTTCTCAGGGCTAAGAAAATTGTAGGTAAAACCTACCCAGAGGATTAGTACCCTGAGTGAAAAATGTGGAGGTATAGATGGCAGACCTTCTTTTTATAAATTATCAGAGTTGTAGATTCTTCCAGGGCCCCAGCGGCTATTTGACTGATATATGGCAAGGTTAATGTGAGGCTTGCCTGCCTTGAGGATGTGCTGACTTCTCCCTAAGTATCTAAGGATATCATCCATGTGCCGCCATGCTGGCTGAATGGAACTCCACGATTCTGTAGTACTGTAACTGAATGGTTGATATCCCAGCTAGGAGGTCTTCACGTATGGCCCACTGTACGCCATGCTGTGGATGACTATCATGGTCAGTCCTCTGGCATATGACTTTGTGATCATGTGCAGTAGGTTGGGAATTGGCTGGCTGAATGCAGAGTGGGAAATGGCTCCAACTTCTGATGAGATATTGCTCTTCCCTGAAAGTTGAGCCGGTCCAGCAAGGGATTGATAGGTGTCTAGGATGTCTTTGAAGCCGAGGGATTCTCCCTCGGGGCCATCCACTAAGGGGATTTCATTTAACTGGTACACTATTAGTGTCTATTGGATAGAAAGGTTGGGGAAGAAAGAAACTTACTAAGCTCAAAGGTAGATTATATGATACTTAGGTGGAGAACTTGATTCTATATGACCTGGCCTATTGAACATGGTAGTCCAGATATTCTTGATAATATTTGCTCAAAATCCAGCGATAATTAGCATTATGGATACTGACACTGTCTGTATCATAGTCCCTGTACATGTATTCCTCACTGTAAGGGGAATATGACTTCACCCATGAGTTATCTTTGTTGAAAAGAAGTGGCAGATACTTGATGAGATTATACCTATGGACTGCCTCAAAGTGCTCCAGGAATCCTTGTATCTAAGGAAGTATAAAGAGTAATTCTATACTGTCCTCCCATGCTGCCACCTGTTAGTCTCATGTGTAAGTAAGAAGTAGAAACTGTTAAGCTCACTGTATTGACTGTTGGCTCTCAGATTATTTTTGGTCATATTTCTAGACAAGACTTGATGATTGAAGAAGCTGGTATGAACTTTTGCACCTGCTATGCTAAAATGGTTAACAACCAGTGAGCCCTTCTCTATTGTTGTTGTCCCATTGACACCACCAGAATAAGACACTTGGTTGGTGAATCCCTCCCAGAAAGCAAAAACTTTCCAGGTCGCATTGCCAGCTGGGACTGTCTAATCTAAGTGGCCATTTTTTATGAATGGCCCAAGGTCAATGATTGACTGTTTATCTATCTTCACTTTCTTTGGCGTTGAGGTGTCGCTGGTGAGGTCTATGATGCAAGACCCCGTAATATCAGCCCTGTACACAGTGGGTTACTATGTAACAAGCAAGGGTCATCAAACCTGGGATAATCCTCCTAGTAATAACGCCCTTTAGATCCCCCTTCTTGGCATTGGTCAGGCCGTGCATGAATCCCCCACCTGATAGTAATGTGCCTGTGAGATTTTGCGGCTTAGGAATGGGACTGATAATTGAATTTCCTGATATGATGGTGGCGACTCCAAGTTGCTATACTTTAATTAGCTATCAAATGATTAGCTGTGTTGTTTAGGCAAGCGGGATTTGTGGTACCAGATGGACTGCTAGTCCTTCAGTTCTGGGCTTGGTGGGTGTCCCTTGGCCCTGACTCGCCCCCAGACTAAAATCCATTAAGACCTCATTCTTAACTACTGCTTCTAATGCGGGCTCAAAAACACCCTGAAAAGCTTTGGTACTAAATCTGTAGACATTCCAGTCAGTTGGGGGGGTGGCTCCAGTGGGGTTGCTATAGGAATAGAAAAGAACTAGCTTAAAGCCACCAGCACTAATAGAAGTAAGATTGATGATATCGCGCTTGAGTGAGTTAATGGTGATGCTTGCATCTGGGAGCCTGCATGTATGTTTCCCTCAGCTATCTTGAGACAGGATTATCTAATCCCATTGGCACTTACTAATAGTGAAACTTAGCCCTGGATGTTGCAGGAGGGGTTTTGAAATTATCAAGTGCTGGTGAACTGGTAGTATGGCCTGCAACAGGCAGGACTGCACCCAGCAGTAGGAACTGAAGACCCTTATATATAATCATTTCTAGAGGTCTGATGACCTGCAAACCTTGCATGATTAGACTATGCAGAAATTGGTTGCCACTGATGAATTATTTCTAAATTTGCTGGTGATAGTAGGTTGGCTTCGTTGCTAGACTTCTACAAAGTATAGGATCTTTATATGTTATAATGTGCCTTCTAGATTTCAACCCCTGTTTCCAAAAATTTGGCATATGGGGGTATGCTATATTCATGCAAATCATGAGCGACTAAGGTTCCACTAAGTCAGTACGAGTACGAGAAAGGTCTGATTGGACACACTGTGGGATGGAGCAGTTGGGGTTTATCAAGCCACGTGCTTTAAGCCCGCGTTAGTTCCCTGGTTCGCGAAATTGTTCTACCGAGGGAAATACCATTTAGCATTATTGGAGGTTTTGCTCGGTGCATTGCTGCCCCGGACCATCACCTGTTGTTCTGGGGCTTTGGGCCTTCATTATCGTGCGGGGGAAGATGGTATCTGCCTTTCCCATCACCAAAGACTGATTGAACAATTGCGGGGCTAGATCGGGTTGCTTGAGCAATTTTTCTGGCAACAATTGGTTCATTCGTAAATTTCAGGCATATGGTCCTGCCTTCTCGACATGGATCCAAGGTTCTACTCTCCTTGTCTATCTCTGCCATCATGGTACCTAATTCTTGCCCATGTTTGATGACAAATTAGCTCTATTTTTCTACAATGCACACTCTAGTTTTAATTCCCCCGATATTCTTGTTCTCACTTTGGCAGAAACTCCCCCCGCTGCCTTCCCATACTGATATTATAATATGCCCTTGTTTTCCAAACTCTCCAGCGATTTACGACATATATCTGGCCTGAGATTGTCTCTTATTAGAGTTGAATGTTATCCATCCCATGTGTGCTGTGCCATCATAATTGTATAATAAGAAGCTCTGGGGGTTGGGTTGAAGGTAAAAGGTAGGACTTCTTTACCCTCTTAAAGAGAACTAACTAGGGCCAATGGGGAGAAGGCATTGCTTTCCCCGTCTTTAGCATGCACGTAATATGCTTGATTAGATGATGTATTTCCATCCTAAATAATTGCCTTGTATCTTGAGTATTAATAAATCTTATATGCATAGTTTATATTTATACCTTGCTTGCTATGTTCTGAGTATATGTATCTTGAGTTGTTGTTACTGCACTCCTCACCACTAGGCGCTTATTCTATAGTTACTAAAAATAAGGAATTCTCACGCAGTGTTGGGCTTGAAAAGCAGGAAGATCTGGCAGGCCTTTAATAGAAGGCTGCTTTACTCCTGTACTCTGATTGCTGTCTTGTAGCTGTACTTTGGTATGGATTAAGGCGCCTTTACTGGTATACAGGTGATGGACTCCTTTACTAAGAAGTTTGGGAAATATAGTGCTGAGAAGCAAACCTACACCATTGAGCCCTACTTTCTCTCACTGCTCAATAGTCTTAATTATATTAGATTTGTATTAGGTCTGGTCTTGGGCAGCTTTATCAGTCAGAAATATGGTTGGTGCATCTGCATATTCATCATGTCACTTTTGGTGCTGGTTGTAGTAATTGTCCTTGTCTCCTTGATAAATTAAGCATAAATTCTTGCAGGATGGATCCTTGCTTATGTCTATATTGGAATGGAGCTATCGTTGGTTCTGGTCCTATAATCAGAGCTGGTCCTGGCATATGTCTGAGGCTTTGTTGTTGGAACCTACCAGTCTGGACTTCTAGTAAGATAATTGTTGTTCTCACTCGGCGAAGGCTGCTAAATTCTAACTCTCGCTGTTAACAGTTGGGTCAGCTTGTCATGGCCTTGATATGTTGTGGCACAAGTGATATAAAAGGTGATGTGGTATGGCGCATTCCCCTTGGTTTACTGTATATCGTCCCTTCGCTTCTGGCTTGTGGAGTATGGTATATGCTAGAGGTAAGCTTCTTTGATTATTTAAAGAGCTGGAATCCACAGCAATTGCTTACTTCTGATTCACATGTAGTCCCTATGCTGGTTGCTTATGAGGGATCGTGAGCAGGAAGCCCTAGAGTCCCTACGAAAGCTGAGATAAGGATGATTTTCGGAACCTGAGATCTTGGAGGAGTTTCAACATCTCCACAGTATAATCAATTTAACTGTTGACAAGGGCTGCTTTACAGAAATCTTCCAGGGTGGTAACTGTCTCCGACCTGCCTCTTTTGTTGTCCTATTAGCGAAAAAAAGCCCGCCTGAGTGCTAATAGCCTGGTAATTAGTAAACTGGAAATGCACATTGATCACAGTGGGCATCAACGTCTTCTTCCAATTGATGGGGTTTAAACTTTGTCACTGTCTATGGAATCCTCTTCATAAAGTCCCTGAATATAATCAATCTATTTACCATGACTTGCATTAACACCGCTATCAACATCGCATTTGTGTTGTTCACCCAGCTGCTAATGGACATGGCTGGCTGAGTGTATGTCCTTTCACACTTAGCAATGTCTGCAATGCTTCCTCCCCCTAGCTAACATTTGAGTGTTGGTTAAAGACCCCTACTTGTTGCCGGCGCCATGATCCAGACTGCCGCTCTCTTTATAATGGGCGGCCTCGGCAGCACAGTAGATCCGTCCCTGTCTACCTGACAGGCCATGACATCCATGGTTACCCTGTTCGGAGTCGGCTTTCAGCTTGGATGGGCACCTTTGTCTCATGTTATTGCTGCAGAGATTCCCACGTCGCGCCTGAGAGGCCAGACCTACGCATTTGGTGCTGTTTTCCTTAACTAAGATATATTTATATAGCTAGAGAAACAGCAAGTATTA